TTCGAAATATTCTTCGAGACAAATGAGATTCATATCCGTAATCTCCATTTTGTCGACGATGGGTCCTGTGAAGGAAATTGAAAAGGTATTGATTTAGAAACAGTGTATGCATTCTGATAGTTAATTGGTCAAATCAATAAAACAAACAATGGTTTCAACTATGGAATTGATTAATTGCCCTTTCAATTGTAGTACTGTAGCGCTAAAGTAATGCTTCATTTTCACACACAGTGCAGTACAAATTGAGAATTTCAATAGCTAACCTTTCTTGTAATAATAACAAATTTTTTCCTTCAATATCTTAGTAGTTTGAATGGTTTCAAGCTTCGTTCGTTATTCAAATAGAATTGAAAAATATTTACACTTCAAGCAGTTCTGTAAACAGAAAATGCTCTTAAAATTTGGCACTAATTTCCGTTTGCAGTGATTAGGTTTTGACTTCGATAATAAAAGCACAACTGACTGCCGTTTCGAGTGTTTCGACTTTTTTATTTTTGAAGACTTGGCCATTATTGTCCATATTTGTATTACCACCTGTCAAAAAATGTCATTTTGTCTTAATTGTATGTTGAATGTGTTGTCGTTCTTGGAATTGGTGATTTGCTGATATTTAGTTAGGTACAGTCTTGCACTCAATTGTGATTGTGTACTGCTCTGTGGGTGTGTGAATATTCTAACCAGTTCATATGTTTGGTTGATAATTGGGAGGAAAAAATATTGGTGACACATGTCAAACTGTTTAACTTTATCTCCACTACAGAGTACTCATGCATTCTACGGAATTTTAATTTAATTTTTGAAGTACGCGCCCATAGACGTTTCACTTCAAATTTTTCTCCTCATTTTTTTTTTGTCCATGGAAATATTTTAGGCCTAGAATCAAAGTATAAAACCGATTTATTGGGCTAAGAACTCGTTTGGTTTGCGGCACAGAAAACAAAAAGAAGAAATGGTGTATAATAATATTATCGGCTCCTTCCGCATTCGGCAAATGATCGAAGAAGTTATGGCAATGGCCAATAAGTGCATAAATATTCTGAAAATTACTTAAAAGTACAATATTATTTATGCTTTTTGTAATCACGCCGTGACTGTTCGAGAGTGAGTATCACATGAAAATGGTGGTTTTGGATGAGACGATGCGACTTACATTTGCCCCGTTGTGTGTACAACGGCATACACACAGGCCATTGCAAGTATTATGCGAAAACGTAATATATTTTAATAGTATCCGATGAGCATTAACCTGTGATCGACGCAAACATCAAACAAAACGTGTGGCGGCCCATTCACACACAGGCATAATCAAAATATAGCGCTTTGGACTGTTCACAGTGCAACGGGAACCGGCATCAAAACCGATTCTGAAATATGATGTACGAAAAGCAAGAAATATTTCTTTGATGTAATTGATACACATTTATTATCTGTAGCAAGCCAATGTGGAGTGAACTATACCTTCAACATTATGCTTAGCACAACCGTACACACGGCACAACATGAACAAAATATTAAATTATTTCATTATGGTCATTAATGTGCGAGCGAGAGCATGGACATTCGTAGCCCGGTGCTCATGTTTTGTTGATTCAACGAGAGCCAGTCGAATTTATTATGCGCATTCAGCAGAAGAAGAAGAAGAAGAAGAAAAAAACCATCGTCGGCGAGAAAGAGAGAGATAGAGAGAGAGAGAGAGCGGGAGAGAGAACCGGAAAAGCGAATTCGTATCCATAAATGTGAACATGGTTGCAAAATCGGCAATGGACACATCAATGGCGGCAATTTCTTTTCATTTGGCAAACACGAGTCCGAAGCTCTCCTCTGGTTCGTGGTGTTATTTTTTTTTCGTAAGTGTTTGTTGTACTCTCAACAGTCGCATGCCTCGTATTTATATGCTAATGATGGTGTGTTGACTAACGAAATTGCTCCACGAAATAACTAAGTATGAGAAGCGAAACGAACACACCGAAAAAACCTCTGTCGGCTTCAACGTGGCACTATGTGGAATTATGCTACGCTTTATAACAACGTCACATGCATATTTCGAACCTTTTTGAGAGGAAGAAAAAAAAGGTGCAACACGCCATACTTAAAGGATTCGTTTTTTTCATCCTGCTTGATGATTAAATATACACAAGTGTAATCGCTCATCTTATTACTTTTTATTGAAATTATGAAATGCACTTCCAGTCGAAAAAATTATATTAAAACACATCGAATTAATACCTACAATTTGCAATAATAAATTCAGTCAATTTATTGTATTTATTCAATCGCCATATCCATCATATATGGTCAAATGATCTTATTTAAGTTTATGACCTGAAATTGAATGCTTTGCCGCCTTTGTGATGGAATTGAACGTTTCAAAGAGTCTCTTGAGTTCATTTTTGTCGCATTGAACTCGATTGAAATATTCAATTACGCGTTTTTTAGCACTCATGCTGACTCTAGGCACACATTTAGCGCAAAATTAAAAGTGAAGTGAAAAAACGACAAGAACAAAAAAATTGCCATTCTTCATGATGAATTAATTTAAAAAGCTATCGTCAAATTTTTTTTTATTCAGAATAAATTGGCATTTCATAAGCTCGAACGTAGCTTGTTTGTTGCGAAAAAAGAATCACACATCAAAATGTTAATAAAGAAAAATTAGCGAGTAAATTATCAGAATCATGGAAGAAATTAGCAAATTTCGCTCATGTTATCGTAGAATATGTAAATTTTATTGGTGAATATGTAAACTTTGTGGCGTTCAAGGCCAAGAACCATATATACATGATAAACCATAGAAAAGCATATTCGTTATCATTATCGTGTGTATGTCTCCGCTATCGCTATATTTGTCATTTTGTCTCTCATTTGCTATGACCCGTAAATATTGTCATTGTCACCTTAACCACCGCTGCTAAAATGTAATTCTTTAACGAAATCGTTCACTGACTTCAAATAGTTTATTATTCATTCGTTATTCACCGCAGCAACAGAGATAAATCTTGAGCTTTCTATGTACTAAATCGTTAAATAAACTTGAATCGTTGATTTTTCTTTCTCGTTTGTTCGTTGAAGAAAAAACCATTTTTCGACTATAGAAAGCGTGTAGAGCGTTAGGGGAATGTTTGTCGATGAGTCCAGTGACCGTTAGTTAATAAAAGCAACACGCAGATTCTTAGCGATCCACCTTTTCAGCATGTCCGCTCCACCTCTTCTTATGTTATCAATTTTTCGCCGCCGTCGTCATCGTCGTCGCCATAAAATCTGATTCTCTTTTGTCTTGATTGTTTTCTTTCTGTTCTGTTCTCTCTCGCGTTGCATGAAACCGCACTGTATACGGAACACGATTATAAGGATGCACAATATGAAATCGTTCATCACCCTTTATGTTTAAATCCCGTTCTCCTTATTTGGCATTGTCGTCGACAACATTCGCCAAAAACCTATATATAGACACGTAATATACAAAGAAACGACGTATCGCATAAATGGTGTAAATGAAAGCCTTGATGATGCTCACGTTTTGCTCTTTATCTTTTCTACACAAAAATGGAAGCGAGAGCCAAATGTTGGGCTATTTACTCGCAACATCGGGTGGGAAAAAATGTGGAAAATTCGTCCCGAGCGCGCGCATACAAACACACAATTCAACCAATCTCAACTACTATATGTATTAAATCGGATTCGAATGGAAGCGAGAGAAAAAAACGACCATTTGCACAGGAAACGAGCAAGAGACAGAGAAACGGAACAAGAGAGAGAGAGAGAGAGAGAAAAAGTGTAGCTTTTGTGGTGAAAAGCAATCGAAGCGATTTTATTTGGAAAATAGCTCATGTCCGGAAATTGAAAATGAAAATTGATTGTGTATACGAATATTTGATTCAAATGCTTGTGCCATTATGGCACTAAAGAACATTTTATTAAATTGGATTTCTTCACCAGAATTTCAATTCGCCAAAACACCCAAATGCCGTATTTTTTTCTATACCTCTCTCCTTCATGCTCCTTTTTCAAAATGTAGGAAAACATTTTTCGGGTCGAGTGGAAACACACACACACACAGAGAGAGAGAGAGAGAGAGAGAGAGAGAGAGAGAGAGAGAGAAAAAAACTCGACAAAAATGAGGAAGAAATAGAGCCCCTGTTGATACATAATTCATTATTTCATTTGCGAGTTCTAACAAGAGTTCTACGTAGTATTGCGACAAAGTTTCACACTTTCATCCGACCAACCGACCAAGCGACCGACCGAGTCGCACATACAATGTCCTGTCCATAAATAATAGAGAGAGAAAAAGCGTGCGAGCGAGCGAGTGAGAGCGAGAGCCTCAAAAACTATATCATGCAAATTGTTTGAGTTGGGCTTGTGAAAACAAATTTACTCGATATAATTGCTAAACGATTTCATGATTTGGTTGTTGTTCATGCCATCACACTGGTTTACACAAAGAAATTTTCGCCTTTCGCTCCTCGAAAATCGATTTGTGAATGTGGCGAGAGATAGAGCGAGCAAGCGAGTGAACGAACGACGCTTTTCATATACATAAAAGATTAAATTTTGTTTATTTTTCCGTTAGCTCCGCCCATCGAATCAGAATGCTTCTCCGCAGCACGCAGCACGCATCATGTTCGAAAATTCGAACATCAACGCTGCACCGCTCTGGTTCGCCGTCGCTGCCATACCGCACCGCACACGATTCACTGCAAAGTAAATAAAAAGCGTTTCACTGTTCTCACACTACATTCCGAACGTACTGTTGACAGCTTATGTACCAGATGGATAGGAGGAGCCAATTCATAACGCGTTGAAGAGAGAAAAGTTGAGTAGGAAAAAAACGAGTATCACAAACTGGTTTCAATAACACATCAAATTGGCCACGGAACACAGAGCACAAATGCAACACTCGAACGAAGTGCGATGCATGCACCAATACACTCTCAAAAACCCGAACCGAGTGAAACATATGGGAAACATGAATAAAACAGAAGAAAAAGCCCAATACACACAGTCGTTTGGATGTGCGTGTGTGCACGATAAACACACCGATACGCTAATGCTGTGCAATGAGAGAATCGACAAACAGACTGAAGAACCGAGACCTTCATCGCTCACTCAACACACGGTTTTGATTTAGTTCGGTGTGAATTGTTCCGTAGTATGGTACTGCGCTTAAACGTTCGTTCGCTCGCTCGTTTATCGTTACTTTTTATTTTGAAGTAAAAAAAAATCTTACAACTTTTGTTCTTATTTCAACTCACATCGGTACAGAACATAGATTGGTTTTTTCGCTGTTCAAAAGATCTCTTGTGTGAGCCATACGAAAAAAGTATAAAGATCATGCCAACATAAGATAAAACAATTTCGGAATTTGACTAAAGTGATAAAGTAGCAGAACTTGTTGACGGTTCGGTTCGGTATAAACAAAAGTGATAGAAAAACTGATTTTTTTTTTCTGGAAAAAAATTCGAGTGAATTTATGAGAAAAAAATATTACAAACTGAAAACTGTTATTTTATGAGAAAACAACCAAATTTCTTTCGATTAAAACGGAAGTAAATTCGGTGATTAGAAGTGCAAACGGCGATTTGAAAATTGTGCAAGTTCAGTTTCGAAGAAAAAATAATCAAAAATAGCGTTGAAAGCCAAACGAAAAATGTTGCCGGAGACACAGTGCAACGAAGCGTTAGTGGTGAAAGGAGCCACGGATTTTTCCATCGCTGCCATCATGGGCAGACAATCGGTCTGCATGGATTCACCGGATAAGAGTTCAAGTAAGTTGTTGTAACAGCTATCTAGTATCTATTGCTTATCATCATCATTTTCTTCCCTTAATTCGTAGTGTGTTTAATCGATTTAGTCAATAAAAGAAAACACCTTTTTTACAAGTCTGTAATAAAAACATTCGGTCCGACGGCATGGCTTCGAGTATAATTTTGTGCACGCAACAACAATTCATCGAAAACGCGCGTGCTGTATTTTTTCTTCATTTCATAGTGTAAACTTGCGACGGTATTTCATTTTCCACTGAAATTGTTCATGATGAAAACATTTTCAGATCAACTCTTTCCAATTGAGCTCAAATCGTTTTCAACCAAAACGAAAAAAAAAAATTACCATACCAATTTTAATGATTTTATTTTCTTACTTCTTGTTGTGACGAAAAAGACCTTCATCAGATCCACCATTATACGTTTTGTGCCATCGTAAATGGTGTCGTTTATAGGAAATACACTTTAATGAAATCATTATCGCTATTTTCGACATAAATACTTCTCTTTGCTCTGGTCACTCTCTGCAACGCGGCCGATCTTACAATTATATGAAAAATGGTTAAGTGTCCACCGATTAACTCTAGTGACTTTACGTGGAAAACGAATGGAAAAGAGATGGTTTCGACAGTTGTGTGTATGTTTCGAATGGCTGAAAACTAATCGAATGAATTGAAGATCAATTAAGTCATTACGAGAGACATATTAAACAGGTGCTGATTTTTTCATATGGACAAATTATTGCTGGCAACAATTTCAATGATTTCATATTCACAAGCGAATCGAAGTCTCTGTTTCTCTCTCTCTCTCTCTCTCTCTCTCTCATCTAATCAGCGTGCCTAATGTCGAACGCAATAATTCAGCTCCAATTTTGGGCAAGACAGCAGCGAAAAACATCATTAAAACTTGATGCAATCGATTCGACACGCTAATTTTCTAAAAATCGTTCGTGGGAAAATCTTTAGAAATTGATTTTTTCTCTTGCTTTGAGAAAATTGACAACATTTTTTTGGTGAAGAAAACAGAAACAGGAAGAAATGTCAAAGAGAAGGAAGAACATTGAGAGAAAAAAAAAACGAAATAACTGATGATTGTTGATGTTTTGAAGGCCATTCAATGAAATCTTAGACGAAACAAAACGAAACGAAAGAAGAAGAAAAGAAAATGCATTAAAAGATGAAGTCAAGAGAATAAATGACAGCTCAAAATGCTGAAATGTGATATAATGCGACGGCAATACTGCAATCAAATGCTAATGATTAATGATTAAATGCGATTTAAAGCTCTTATTCACACCTTCTTATTCATAATTTCTATCATATATTCTATTGGAGCTGGGTTTTGCAAAGCGCCAAATCGATTAGCACAATAAATCGATTTACTTCGATTGTGTGTACACAAAGCGTGACATTATCGAGTTTTATTGTTAAGTTCACACAACAACAAACACACACACACACAATCACACGGACAATCGTCCGTTAAAACGGCGACGACTTTTTTTCTCTTCTATTGAAAAGAGATAAATAATTAAATAATTAATAATCACTATAATTGACACGAGAACCACTGTTTTGATCATTTTCGGTGGAAATATTTTGTCGCTTTGGTATTTGTTTGTCGCGCTTTGTCTTCGCCTCTCTCGCTCACTCTCTCCCTCGGTCGCTCACCACGCTCTCCGTTGCGTGATCGCATTCAAAAACTTGGAATCGTATATATATTTTTATTAAATATGGAAATTTAATCGGCTACGAATAGCGCGCTGAGATTCAAGTGTCTTATTTTATTATCTTGCTTGCTTGCTCTGTTTCGCCCGTTTCATTTCTGCGGGTTGCTAATCAGTCGGGTTTGCAGCAGCAGGTTTGCACATTTTTCGTTGTGTTCAATTTTCGCTTCGATTTGTTGCTGTCATTTTATTTCACTTCATAATAAAAAATCACATAAATCTGAAATTAATAATTTGTGGAATTATTAATTTATTCTCTCAGTTCGTAATGCGTTTCTTTTTTTTTTCTTCATCTCCCTTCAGTTTTTTTTTTCTTCTTGAAATGTTGTCCGGCTTTGCTTTGGCTGAAGAAAACACAATTTATCGCTTCGTTCGAATCTCATTTATATTTTTATCACTTTGAGATTTGGCATTTTTTTCATAAACAAACTCGAATCGAATTTGAATAAATCGATGATAAATTTGTGTGTCGTTGGAAGTGAGCAAGTTTTTTTTTTGTTCGTTTTTGGCATATGGTTGTTTCAAAGCGTGTTGACACTAATCGAATTGACGCGAAATTTTTTCTCATTGGAATTACATATTTTTGAGGTTTCGCGTATTTGGTCTAAATCATTTTTGGCGCAACTGTTAATGACACCTTGGCGAGAGAGAGAGAGAAAAAACAACAAAACGAAGCGAATACCATTTGTCGATGCGAACGACTAATGACTATGGTGATGAGTAACAATTCTATTGGGTAAATCGTTAGAAAATTGAATAATCACGTTTGATGATTGAATCACCACCTTAATCGTGATTTAAAATAAGACACACAGCACACAATCCAATTAAACCGTAAACCGACTAACGGACCGCATGCATGCCATTTGTTTGCCTTTGCATTCGCATAGTGCATTTAATTGACTGTCCGAATTTTCGAATCTTTGTGGTATGCAAGACCTTGATTCAATTAGAACGCATAAATTGCAATTGTCTTTCTTCGGCTGCGGCCACCACATATTCGGCACAGAGGTTGCAAGTCGCGCGCAATCGTACTAAATAGATGATAAGTTGGCAACAAATCGCGCTCAACAATTAAATTCAAATTGAGTGAGAAAATCAGAGAAAATTTGCACGTAGACGGTGTTGAGTTTTTTTTTCTCTCTCTCAGTGGTTTGGTTGCAAAGCAAACGCTATAATTAACTGAATAGATTTGTTTATGCTAATTTCAGTGCCATGCCGTTGACTGCATTTTAAAGACTCTTTTTTTTATTTCTTTTTCTCGCTATTCCTAAATATATTTGATGTTTTTTTTTTCTGGTTTAGGTCCATTATCGATTGGTGGTGGTTATCAAGACGATGTGGACGATATTGAGGATGATGATGATGATGCCATAATTGATGTTGAAGACTACAAAATTCCGCCGATCACAATAAACACGGCCATTCCATCGACACAAACCTCAAGCAGCAGCTTATCACAATCAGCACACAACAACAACAACAACAACAATAACAATAACAACGGAAATGGATCATCATCAACACTGACAAAGAACCGTATTGGTCGGCCCACAAAATCATCACTCTCCTCACCGGTGTCGTCGACGGCCAGCGATGATGAGCGTCTATCTCCCGATTCAGGAAAGGTGAGAAAGATCATTTTACACACAGGCCATCGGATCGGGCTTGTTTGTTGTTTGCCGATATGCCGTCGGCTTGTTATGCTTTCAATTTTCCAGTCAGTATGAATGAAACGAACGAAATAATCATGCTTATGAACGTATAATTACGGGTGTAAAAAACACTTCGGCATTCGCTTTGTGTGACAACGAAGAAGAAAAATCACTTCTGGTTCTTCTTCTCTTTTATTTTACTCTCAATTGCATCGTATAATTTTTTTTGTAGATGAATTCCGTTTTGGTCGTCGTCTTCGTCTTTGTTGATGTTGTCTTAATCACAACATCAAAGTTAAAGCCAAACCGAATACGAATTTTCTTTTCTGTTTAACCATATCATTCAGCAATAAATTATATCTCTCGGTGTACTCATGAATCGATCTCTTATGTTTTTTTTCTTCTTCTTCTCTTTTTCTCGCGTCAAATACACACACACACACACTCGATATTCAACAACATGTTGCGGTTGTGTATGCTGCTTGTGCTTCGCCTCAAATAGACACGCCCAACACTTTTAGGCTCTTGTAATTGTGATGAATTGAAACCAATCCAGTGTCATTTGGAAACAAAAGATTTATGGGAAAAATTCCATGAGCTCGGCACCGAAATGATCATCACAAAGACCGGAAGGTATGTATCCACTTTTACTATTTTACTTTTCTATTTCGATTTTTTTCATCGATGTCAAATATTCCGTTTTTATTATTATTTAAAGTTTGAGGTTTCGGAATCAATCGATTTGCTTCGGAATTTGAAAATCGGTTTCGATGCTTTTTTGCTATTGATTTTAATAAATTACCTAATTGGCGAATCAATTAATGCGATCAGCGTTAATGTGCGTGTGCGTTTTTGTGCACATGAGAAAATGCGTTACACGATTTGGAATAGGGCGGTCGGCCGAGCACGAGAGAGAGAGAGTGTGTGTAATCAGTGAAAATAATTATTATAATCATGATATCATAATAAAATTCAATTTCTCGTTTTGAGTGCGCAGCAACGACCGCCGCCACTGCCGACATAAAAACCCATTTCAAATTATAGTGCATACAAATTGATACTAAAAGTCTATAATTTTTCGCGCGAGTATTATTCGTAATTGCGCGCGTCCACCGCGTAAATGTATGCAAATTTTAGTCGAAAAATACTACACTACATATGCAACAAATTGTTGTGTAGCATTACTGCTGCCGTTGCATTTTTGCATATATCTCACACTCCTCCGCACATTCCGTGCCAAATAACATGCCGATTTCGATTTTATACACTTCGAAATTGGTTTATATAGAGGCGTTAAAATTAATCGACAATTTAAATGGCTGCAACTGATATTATTACAATTTGGCGGTTTTGTTGTGTACAATTATTTGAAAGTTTATGTTCAGTGGTGGAGTGCTAGCATAAACCCCAAAAAATAACAACAACAGCAAAAAAAAAAAATAAAAAAAATGAATGCAGCGATAAATGAATTGGCACTATAAACGACAGTTGAACAAATTATCCTAATGTTTGCGCTGCATCGTATTTTCCAAGCCGAATTTGGGCAATAAAAATCGCTCGTGAATTCCAGTTTATGAACACCAGAAATGTTATAAAATTTGCCCCGAAACGCTAATTGTATGCAACTCATTAGCAACAGTGACAACATCACACATACTGCGTGTATGCATCGCAAGGCCTTTTTTTCTGGCTGCAGAGAGATTCACAGGAGTCAATTTGCATCGACCGATTTATATCGGCACACACCGGAATTTTAATTATCGGCCATCATTATGACCTAGGCCATTTTCATAAGCATTCGATTTTATTTTGTGCGTGTGTTCGCCGAATTCGAAACGCCACTTTTGCCATTACACTCAATTTATATCGGGCATCGGTGTTCATTTGAAACGCGCAGCAGCAGCAGCAGCAAAAAAGAGACGTGCGCGTGCGCGCACGTTCTTTAAATGTCGAAAAAAGCCAGCGGGCTACGGGCTATTTAATTGCATCGATTGTTCGATGATTTTTTGATTTGGGTAACAGTAAGCAACGGAGGAGGAGGAGGAGGAGTGAAAGCATTAGTCAAAATTATAGTTGCACTATGCCCGCAAAATATATTAGCGTTCGATAATATCCTGCTCAGTTTTTTCATTGTGTTGTTTTCCATCGTTTTGAGCTCAATAAAATTTTAGCGGCGATGCAAAAATCAATTGCCATTTGGCTGCAAGAGATTTGCGGGGAAAAAAAACAATGCCATGCTTTGCGTCCTACGCGAATCAATGTTTCACGAGTGTCGCTTATAAATGGCAAATGCTTAACCAAAACCCAAAATCAATAAAATGTTTAAAGCTTAATTAAAATTATGAGCTACAGATTTATCGGCTGACGTCAAATGGCCCGTTGAACTTGATTTAACATCTCACATTCGTAGAATTTGTTAAGCGTATCTGTGTTCAGATGCCAACGTAAATCAACGGAATAACTCTGCGCTCGTTTGTTGTTTTTTTTCATTTCGGAAATTGGCAAAAACACATGTTCACGTTCGTCGGTTGCTGCAATTTATTTGTTAATCGACAATTTTTTTGAACAAAATATTGTGTTGGCAAGTGAAACAACACAATGTTTCACATTAAGCACATCCTTCAGCCGATCTGCAGGTATGCTCAATGGCTTCTGTGCACGCTGACACGAAATTACTTCATGGTCAGGAAGACGAAAAAGAAGAAGACACATTTAAACGAAACAATGTCTTTAAATGCATGGCTAATTGCACAAATGCGCATAAATGGATGTGAAAAAGAAGAAGAAGAAGAAGAACAGAAAAATCCGTCGATCCGCATTTATGAATTTATGCGAAAATCGTATGTATGTGCGCGCACGCCTGTGTCATTGAGACTAACTGTGTGGCTCGATGCATGGATTGCTTTTGACAACGATAAAATGTAGCAAAATGTGCAACAAAGCATGTCCGATAACCCCGCTCTAGTAATATACGGCTGTCAATGTATCGAGAGAGAAAGAGAGAGAGAGAGAGAGAGAGAGAGAGAGAGCGAGAGACGAGTGCATCATCATGTTGGTGCGCTTCGAATGAGATATTTTTGCATTTCATTGAACTTGAGCATACGCTACCGTAGTCACATTGTCGTTGTTGTCATTTTGAGTGCTTCACTCTCTCTCTCTCTTCTGTTTGTATCTATTGAAGTTTTATTGCGATCATAAATGGCCATAATAAGTTGCAAGTGCATTTTCATCTTCGAACTTGTACACATTTTAGCATCGTTTTTATTGTGCACAATGCAATTTCTATGGCTTTATCTGTTTTCATGTCGAATCAGCAGGAAAAGACCTTGTTGAACACAAACACAATTTTTGCCTATGCAATACCTTCCAGTATCATTTGAAATGGAAAAAGAAACGCATCACGCGCTCGTGATACCATTTGAAAAGCATCCAACAGCGCTAATAAAAACGTTTTCGATAAGCGCAGTCATTAAGTTTTGACGAGAAGTCGTCGAAAAGAAGGAAAAAAAAACCATATGTCCCAATAAACATCTTCATCGCACGAAATTCGGTTGAATTTTTTCCCCTTAATGACGTTGTGGTTTATTTTTCCTCGTCTTTTTTTTCTCGAAAATGTGAAACAATTTTTGTGGCGTTACACGAGGAAAAACGCGTGCACCACTTGATATCATAATAAAAAGGCGTACGCAACATATATACGAACAGAACGATGAATTCGAAATTACCGTCTCAACCAAAATCCACGAGCTCACTTGAAACATTTCTACAATAAAACAGTTTTTTTTTTCTTCTTTACAAAATATGTAATAAAAACCGCAATTAATACATGAAGACAGCCAATGTGTTTTGTAAGCAATAGAAACTGCCAATAAAATGTAATAATCGGACGAAACAATTTTTTTTTTGATGTTCTACACCAGCCATCAGCCAGCACAAGCATATTTAACAAATGGCTTTATTATCGGTATATTTTCGGTGAATGAACGCACGCACGCGCGCGAGGGCACCGCAAATCTATTTCAAATTTCAATGACCATAAAACATTCTCAAGTGCTATGCATTAAGCACATTTAATCGGGTTCTCGGTAACCTCAATCCAACATTGAAATAAATTCAATGAATAAGATTAAAATTCAGTTGTTTTTTTTTACGTAAAAAAGTGATCGGCTGTGAAACAAGGAAAAAAATGTCTTATCTATCATCGCATTTTTCAGTTTGAGAGTCGATTTCTTCTCAACCGAACGCAATCAGATGTGTTCACTTGCCTCAAAGCAAAATTCTGATGAACGAAAATTCGGTGTTATAAAAAAGGAATTGTCCTCTGGACGCGCCAAATTATGACATCAACGTTCAAAAATAACGGACAACACAAATTACCGAACGAAACGTTGATATGATTGTCCACTTGTGTATTGTTTTATAACGGTGTCGATTTATTGTGAGCATCAATGAAATGTGTCTTCGAATTGACATAATTTTCGATGGTCTTTAGGCTGTTATTCTCACTGCCACTGCTTTATGAACATATTGTGCGTTATAAAAATGTTTTTCTCTTGTTTTTCGTTCGTCTCCGTTTTGTACACCGATGATCGGGTGTGTTTTCCGTTGAGAGTGACAGATGTTTAAATGTGTATATAGTCAGGCGCGTTCAATTCTTAATTTTCGTAATCGTTTGACCACAACCAAAACGTGTGCCTCTGACTCCTCTCTACCTCGAGACATTTCTCCAAAAAAAAAACAGCAACAACAACAACAGCACAGAGAAAGAGAAAGAACCTGAGCAAAACTTTAAAATTACACCAAAACACGACAACCACACAAAGAATTCCAACTGATCGTCTTACAATTTGTTTGCTGTGCTCTGTGCTTATATTTCATGTCATTCCATTAATTCCCGTCGTAGCTTCACGAACCTGAAGGTTATTCGTTTGCTCTTTGTCTCTCATTTACTTCGTTGGCTACTCTTTTTTCCGTTTTGTTAATGTAAATTTATTGGCTCTCTCTCTCTGGCACAGAATACAATGTATTTTCACATTTGTTTTTTCACTATTCTTTTTATGACAATGATGATGATGGAGAAGGAGAAAAATGAAATACACCGGACCAAAGAAATATTACGCGATTAAAACCATATGATATTCCATTTACAAATGAACAATTCAAATTCCATTTCAATTGAGCCCAATTCATTCAGCGCCTGACCCAGCCATCCATCGGTTGTTCTTCCTTTGTTTTCCTTCCTCAACAAATATTCCCTTGCTCTTCAAGGTGAAAAAAAGCAAACATTTCATTTCTTTTTTTTCCACTTTGATCTTTTTGTTTAACAAAAAAGAATCTTGTGCTACATTCAATTTATGAAGGATTCGAACGCAAAACTGAAATAATTCTTGACTATTATTGTTCGTTACGAAATGCAGACAAAACGTAATTAAACATTGGCATCGGTGGAAAATGTGTGTGTGTGTGTGTGTGTGTGTGTGTGTATGTGAGAGATAAGAAAACAAATGAACAAATAATTTTCGATTAAAATGCATTTCATACCAAATTGCATTGGGTTGCATTGCTGGCTTTCAATTGTGCTTAACTGATCTTTCATTTGGTATGTTAATCATTTTGTAGTTCATAAATTCTTT